AAATCCTACCCACTAGACCCCTTTTATTGTCTTTTCAAAAGGAAATGGGTCTCAGGATAAAACATAAGACATGAAAGGCCCGAAGACTGCATACAATTCTCTTGTGAAACACGAGACATGATGCTCTGACAGCACAGCCAGACTTTAAGCATTACTATACGTCTGCAACATAACCTGTCTTCAGTCCCGCAGCACAGCTGCAGTCCCAGAGGGTGGTTTCCCCCAAGCCCATAACGCCAGGCTGGTTACTGGCTCTGACATCCCTGGCACCAGCCCTTGCACAATTCCACGTCTCAGCCTCTCATCCGAGTGCATGTGTCCCAGCACCGGGGGCTGAGCAGCCACAGTACTCAGCACAGAGACACCCCGATGGTAGCATGCACCTGAAATGCAAAAGGGGATCTGAAGTATTACTTACCCTGATAGGTAACGTGGCCAATTAAAACCAGTGACACAATGTGCAGCTATACAGAAATCATGGCAAAGGAAGAGGACTACAGTGCCCTCCTGCTATCTCTGCTCAGAAGAGAATTTCTACCAGCTTTGTTCGGCATCGTATCAGTCAAAAAGTAGCAAAGACACAGTACTTTTTTGTCTTAAAATATTTCTCAGTTCCATGGCACATGCATTTAAAAGATAACAATTTTAGTTTCCTATTACTATGAATGCACTAAGCATAGCATCAAAAGTATTCCTGAAACCATTTTGTTTATCTTGTGGTATTGAATTTGATATGACTAGAAACAATTCACAATTTGTTAAAATAATTTTTAAGCCAAATATTTTTTTCATGGAAGCTCATGTAAGTGTTCATGCCCATGCACTGGAAAAATAGGAATATCATATTCTATTTGGCATGATAATTGATAGGAAAACATTGTAGGACAGGTTGTAAGAACAATTGAGCATGGTACTGAATGGTTCATTATTAAATTTCATCATATTGTTTAAGACAGCAACTACACGATCTCTTTCTGCTTTTTAAATTATTTATATGGACTTAGCTGTCCTCTGTTAAATAATGTCATACAACCTTTGACCCAAAAAAAAGCAATTGATTAGTTGAACAACATAGAAAGATTTATCATCTGTATGCAGCACTGCAGCCTTCTTGCAGTTTGTGCACATAAAGTGCCGTTCAGAAAATGGTCTCCAAAGGAAATTAATTTGAATTACTTTAGCTGTTTCATTCTAGGATTACAGCCTAATACCACATTTTGACAGGAAACCAGTCCTGATCTCTTTCTATTCCTACTGCTCAGTGGGGGCAGGCAGGAGGTACAGGAGGATGGATACTTTATTTTGCATACAGTATTGACTTCTCTGTTTACAGTTTACCATCAGTTTGACTTCAATGGGAGTAGCAACCCAAAAGAAGACATGACTTAGCGTGTGACCAGTTCAAGAGACTGTTCATTCTCTGACTACTAAAGAATATTAAGAAGCAACTTTTGCAAACCCCAACTGGTATAAACTTTGTTACAAACTGCTGAAAGGTGTACATCACCAGTGTTCACACTACCAGTCATTTATTAGTGTTCATCCTACCTCTTACAAGTCTTCACATGTCCTCCTAAGAGAGGATGCAACAGCTCAATGCAACACTTTCTCCTGCACATTCAAAAGCTACAACATCAAGAATCAAAACAGTTCTCTCTCATATTCTGTGCTGAAGGAATTGTTAATCTCTTAATTATGGCACACAACCCACTGCTGACACCAAAAGCAACATTCCAAAAACCAAGACTGGGTAACAGATTTTGTTCAAGGCCTTTAGGCCTTTGAATGACAAGATGCCAGTAGCCCTGATCAAGCAGCCACAGAATCAGTCATAGAGTGGTTGAGATTGGAAGGGACCTCTGGGCGTCATCTGAACACACCTTGTTCAAGCAAGGTTACCTGAAGCAAGTTGCCCAGGACCATGTCCAGATGGCTTTGGAGTATCTCCAAGGATGAAGACTTCACAGCCTCCCTGGGCAACCTGCGACAGTGTTTGACCACACTTACCATGAAAAAGTGTTTCATGATGTTCAGATAGCACCTCCTGTGTTCCAGTTTGTGCCTGTTTAGGCCCATAGCCTGACAGAAAGATAACAGGGAACAACCAGTTGGAGTACTGGGCAGAGTAGGAAGACAAGACAGCTTTAGTACATGAGAAGACAGAAACTACTTTCTATGCACAATCATAGGCTACATACGCATAAGGGCCAGTTTTTCACTCCTCTACTGGTTCTGTTATGGGGTTTGTGATACAGCTTCTGTGACAAGCTCAACTTGCACCCTTCATTCTCTTCCATCCTTATCAGAAGATCAGCTTCAATCTCTGTAGTGATGGATACATAAATAAATTACAGTGAAACTTCTGCAAACTGTCATCTGGAAAGGGCCAAAAAGTCTAATTTTCTTTATTACAGAAGTTTTGGGCAGGAGTTTGAATCTTTGTTCTCTTTTGGGGTTTTTTTCAGGTAAAATATCAGTTTAATGTTTTTGAAAAGATTTTGTCTTTTTTGTGGGCATATCATCAAAGCCTATTAGTGTAATACTTGCTATCATTCATTTAGTGGAGAAAAATCATTAAACACATATCATTTCAAAAGTGTGTGACCTAATATGAAATTGAAATGACCTTTATTTTGGCACACTACTGCACTGAGTTAGAGTATTATGAAGTCCCAAGCATTCCCTGTTTACAAATGCCAGTCAGGCTACTACTACTGCTCTAATGTGCTCAGAGATTGTGCAGCCTATGACCAACTGTAACTAATTGCAAATAGTGAATTAGCTGTGGGGGAAGATCCACAGTTTCCCAGGGGCAAAAGCCACTACTTTGAGACAATGGTTTAATTTATGTTGGAAATTTGACCAAACAGAAGTGGAAACATTGACCAAGTACTCACTTTTGTCAGATGCTGTTTCAGTGTTTGGCCTCCTGTCCTGCAATACATAAACTTGCATCTTGGGTCTAGGGTATTTCTTCGCATCCATATGGTTCTCACACCAAGTCTGTAAGAATGACAGATGAATGAGTCACAGTCATGTTTAACTTCAAGCACAAAGGTGTCTAATTCTTAGTCTTAAAAATGCACATGACTGCATCATAAAAATCCACAGGCTGCAACTCAGATCTTCAAAGCACTGCCACGGAGTGCACAGATGTGTATGTCAACCCTCTTGCACCCACCGTGCCATTCTCAGGACTCAGGATAGTCAAACAAGAGTCAGATTTCCACTCATTTCCTGAGGTTGTTCAACAGCTTTGGACGGCATCTGATGGATGCTGTGGATCACTAAGATTCTGTCCCCTGGACCTTTTAACACACATTCAGCCGTCCCCCTCTCACATCAGGGGACTCCTCCTGAAGAGGTGCAGTGCTACCAGACAAAGACATGACTGATTCTCATATCTGTTCCAACAAGAAGCGTCATGGCTATAGCAAATGCAGCATTTCACTGTGTCCAACTGCGGTCCTTCTCCTGAGGCCTAACAACACAAAAGGCATTTTGTAATAGCTCCCTTTGAAATCAAATTAGTAATGTTTCAAGGCGTGACCCGTAAAGGGCTGCTGTCCAGAATCTACATGTGTTTGACAGATACATCTTCCACCTAACGGGCCTCTTCGAGTGTACAGATGGAATCAAGATGTGTGAACAGAGCTCCAAAAGGAAAGCCATGGGATATCAGGATACACAGCAAAGCACTCTATCTCAACAGATAAAAAGGAAAGAATATCAGATACAATGTACAATAGCTCACTCCAGCTGGTAGGACAGATTCTGACACTACTATATAGGTGAGATTATTGCAGAGGAAGATGACATTCCACATGTGCAAAAGCTAACAAAATACAGCCCAAATTAAACTATATAACCTTGTGCCAACTCCTTATAAAGCTCATACAAAGTCACAATCTCCTTCTTCCATATGTCCATTCACTGCAAAATGCTAGAAGTTACTGAGGGCTGTATCTCAGTATACCCAGGTACATAACCTGATGGGCAGGAGGCTAGAGTCTCTAGAAAACAGCTTATTTTTACCCGTCTAGCTACAAAATTAGTGGAAAAATTAGAAAAGAAGAGGAGCTTTCAAGTTTGCCACAATGTATTTGCTTATCTTCCAGAAAACTAACCAGTCCATTGTCCTGTAGGGTCAATCTCTCTGGAGCATGAGCATGAAGATGAGAATCCCTGTCCATAGTATATGAAAATAAGAAAGCATTTGGTGGTTGGTCTTTCCAAATATCCAAAGGTCATATTTGACTGTATAGAGAATTAATTTAAAGCACAGCAACTTCCTAATGCAGTCCAGGCCTCAGGTCCATAACTCATTTTCACATGAATTCACAGACAAGAAAAAAAAAATCATGCTAGTATATCAAAAACCCCTATAGCAGCCAAATAAAATGAAACACCTGCTGTCAGAACTCCATCAGCTACTTCTTGTTGCCAGTGTTTCCTGTCTGAAAGGAGGACACAACAGAGACTAGCTATGTGCATTTTGCAAGATGAAACAAAGTCCAGGGCAAGGTTGTAAGAAGACATAGGCTGTGCATTCTTTATTATGTGTCAGGACCAGCCACTTCTGAAAAAAAAAAAAAAAAAAAAAAACAAACGAGATACTTTAAGCTAGGACTAGGAGCCAAGGCTAAAACACCATGGAGAAAAATGCCTGTGAGTGACAACAGCAGACTCCACTGATGGTAGAACTCAACTTAGACCACACTCCCAACGGTTCATTTCTTTAACAACATTCAAGTTTTGCCTCTCCTAACAATAGGAATTGCAACCATTTCAGGAAAGAAAACCAATTTGTACCTTCTCAAAAAAATGACAGAGGAGCATGCCATACTCTTACACAGTTTACACATAAGGTTATAGCCAAGATTTGGTTATATTCTTGCATATCGATATTTTCAGCTGCATTTGATTACTTAAAATGCCATAAATCACTGACCAGTACTCACAATTTTCACATTATTTTTCCAGGAAATTACTTCAGAGGCCAGGGAACTGTCACAATGATCACAGAACTGTATGCGAGTGCCATCCTTATAAACCTGACATCCCTGCAAGACATGCACAATATGAGATTCAAATCCTGATATGAAGTGCCAACCCAAACAAGGTGGGAATTCAGCTCATTCTCCATGTTCAAGCAGATCTCCCTGCTTGGACTGCAAAGGTGGTCAATTTTGATGTTGACTGTGATCATTAACAAATGTGCCTCAGAACAGGAGTGAGAAAACCAAACTAGTCCCACTAGAATTTGATGGTGAATGATTTTGCATATGAATCCCAGTGTGGCCATAGCTCTCCCTCTCAGATTATAAACCTAGTTAAACCTTTAATTAAGGAGTTAGTAAATGAATGGTCATAGGATCATTTACATTAGTTCATCTGTATCAACAGCAGAGTAACATCCTCCTATTGTTTCTGAAGCAGTAACTATTCATGTTCTCCATGTGGCCTGTAAATAAATTTGGTCCTGGAAACTGTGATATTGTTGTAGTCTGTTAAGAAAAAGTTTAAAAAAAATAATGCACTAAAACACAGACTGAAGCCCAAAAGCAATTATCAGTCTGCCCTGTCACTCAGGTTGGGGAACATGAGCCAATGCTTACAATCTGAGTTCCCCCTAGCATGGTACCTTTTCCTTTTCAGTCTATCATGACATATTTACAGCTTTGTCTCTCAGCAGTCCCTACCAAGACTCCAGGGATCCACACTGGCCCATCATGAATGTTATTTTTCTTGTGCTACTACTGCTAAGAGCCAATAGAAGATATTCAGCAAGGAATTAAGAGTCTGAGATTTCTGTCATCCCCATATATCCTGGATTAGGTTAAACATATTCCTTCTCCCCTTCCCCATTTCAACACTGCTTCCAAATGGATATGCTATAGAAGTAAATTTGCATTAGCTATATCTGCACTAGACAATTGAATGAACCTGGGACAGTTCTTTGGGATTACAGTTACTGGTTGCAAATATTTCCTATTCATATTATTTAACCCATATAGTCTCCAAAACTAGATAGTCAGGTACCTGTTCAGAATGGATCCTGGGTTGAATTTAATCCCTGAATTGTGCCTGTAAATTATTTGGGAGAAATCTAGTTGGTCCAGGTATAAAGTCTGCCAGAAACTCTTCTAACACTTTAATTGTAGACAATGCAATGCTTGGGAATGCTTCCTCACAGGTTTTCTTTTAACAGTATAGATATTGCTGTAGATAACAGAAAAAGAAACTCAAAGCCATACAGAATCCAATGACTAGTGCTCTGGTTTTGCTCTCTTTTGTTTTCATTTAAACTCCTGCCTTCCACCTATTAATATCATATTCTATTGGCTACAAAATTACTCAATTTTCCTACAAACTCCCCAGCTGTAAATATATTATCAAACAATGTGTTATATTAGACACTGGAAACATTCTGTGTACATAAATCACACCCAGAAATGATAAAACCCTCTCAGACCACAAGCGGCCTAACTGTCTTCCAGACCTCCATGGAGAAAGAGACCGAGTCTCTCTTAAGAGGGTGCACAAACTGTATTGTTCAGCAGATCTAAAACAAACAGTCTAATATCAGAGAGCAAGCAAGCATTTACAGGTCTCTACCCCAGGACAGAGCTCCCCATTTCTTGTCTGACTGTGACAGATCCCACACTAAGGTCACTGGTTTCTGGGTTATTCAAGCACTCAGCGTTGATGTAGAGTCGATCTGTTCCCACTCAGTTATGCAGCTAGGACACATTACCCCTCAGTTTCACCATACATTCTCAAACAGATATGCAGACACAAGGACAGTGGTTCCAAATTCTTACAGAATGGAAAAGATCTTCTCTGCTCAGAGTTAGAAATTCCTATATCTCCCTGGCATCATTACTGGGTAGCAATAATTCCAAGGTGTTGAGACCACATTTAGCTTTACAGAATAAAACATAACAAGCTGTCAAAATGTGCATAAATAAATTAGAGTCATTATTCCAGCTTAAGGTTCTGGGGACATAAACAATCCTCTTGAAGTTCACTGTGACATTTTTTGCAGCAGGAGCCAAGCATTAAAATTACGTTCTGTATACAGAGAGCTGTAAATGCATTCTGTCTTAGGGCCTGGCACTGTGGCACAGAAATCAACAGGCCTGCCTTGGAATAGAAAATACAGCAGTTCAGGGCCAAGTCCCTGCCCCTGAGCACAAGTTTTATGGCACAGCCCATGTCCATATGGCTAAATTCTGTCCTTCTGCTCACTCCCCAAAGAGGAGTTCTCATCCATGTCTGCCTGCTTGGAATAGTCCCTGGCTCACACTGCTGCCTTAACCCATATCCAGGCACCACTGCAGAGAGTGCTGCTGGCGTGGGCAGAACCACGCAATGGAGTGTGCCAACAGTAAAACCACAGGTCACCACATGCCACTGCTCCTGGTTACTGACACAAGTCTGGGACTTCTGCTAGGATATTACCCTAAAACATGCTCACCTTTTCACAAGTCATGTTCAGTTGTATAATAGAACATGCAGGAAGTGAGATCCAAAAAAGACACAAAGACTGAAGACATGCATATATTTTGTGATATTTGGGATATAAAGGAGCTGTACCAGGTGAGACTGCATATCCATCACACCTCCATCACTAAGCAATTACACAAACTTAGGAAAAAGTGTGATATCAGGGTAAGCATGGAGTGATACCTTCTCAGTACAGTCTCCTGCAGCACTTTTGACTCAGAGACTTCCCAAACCAGAAGTAGCCTCTTGGTATTTAAAAGCCTTCTGAGGATTCTTCTCAAAGAAAATGAACTCTGGATTTAAATGTTGCATAATTAAAAAGTCAGTGAAAATAGGCATCAGCAATTTGAATTATAAACAAGGAACAAACCCATTCATTCAGAAAACACATTTTACATCAAAAGACCATCAAAACATGGATGAACGAGAATAGTGTCATTACAAGACAGCATCAAGTTGAAAGCTACAATCTCTGAGAGCAAAATGGCACTGACATCCTCACAGAAGGCTTTTACTTGGGCTCAGTGCACACAAAACAAAACAAAAACAAATTTCATAGTGCATTCAAGGCAGAATGTGCTGTGGCAGAAATCAAAACAAATGGCTGGTAGCTCAGCAGCAAAATGCAGGATACGTCCTATTTTGCAACCAACAATTTTTACAGCAAATGTTTTTTCCTGACTTTTTTTAGTATACCCCTTTAAGGTTTTGAAAAACCGCCATAGCAACTATGTCTTTGGGTCCTAATGGGTATTTTTGAGCTACTTGCTAAATCCATATTAGGAGCTGAGGCAGCCGTGGCAGTATGAAGAATTGTTCCATTCCTGAGTGGGAAATTCCATGAGATAAAACATTCTTGCATTTTGTCCAGCAGAAATACTGTATTTCCACTGAAAATGCCATACTAATAAGCTCACTAGTGATGTTTTTTCTAGAAATAAATAAGACAGAAAAACTTTTGATGCTCTTCCTCTGCCTCCCCCTTTTTTTCTTCCCCTCTTTCTCTTCAAGGTGGGACAAAGCTGCTCAGAAATCTAAATGCATTTTCCCCACTAATAATAAAGAAATGGCTGTTCCCTTACTTTTGCCTTGAAGTATCAAAAGCATACCAAGGGAAAACCATCCTGCTTTCCAAAACTTTTTGTTGACCATGGAAAGAAAAGACTCCCTAGAAACATAACTAGCACAGAAAGGTTCTTGCTTGCTCTGTGCTTACTCACAGCTGTGCAGGTGCAAGTTTAAACATCCATGACCTGGCTCCTCTGAGATTTCCCCTCACCTCCATGTACATTGTAAACATGACACAAATATGCTCCAGTGTTTTTATTTGGGAAATTAGGGAAAATTTATAGAAATTAATTTAGAGCACATGACAGAGCAATTCTGACTAGGACAGAAATCAAGAAGAATGCAAAGTCTTTAGCCAAACTTGGGAAGGAGGTATACAGTACTACAACACAAAATTCCCATTTCTATATATCACCATCTGATGTGTATTAGAGGAATGTTATGTCATTTGATTCTGTTCTGCCAAAAACTTCCTCATCTGCAAAATGGTGAGAGCAGTATTGCCAACCTCACAGGGATCCCGTGAGATCAATGACCTGCTTTCCAGTGTTCCTATGGCGGGCAAATATTAGATGAAGGACAGAGGAGTCCATCGCCGCCCTATGGCCTCCTCATATGCCAGAGAAGCATATAGGGTTCTTGGCATGCAAAGCACCTCCACTCATTCTCACTTGTAAGTATGGTTGTTATGGACCATCAGTTACTCAAAAGAGCAAAATACAAGCTTGAGGTTTTGCCGGCAAAGGCCATGAAGCAAAAGCAGTTGTGATCTAGCTGTGATCACTAGGTACTGGCCAGGGCAACACAAGAAACACAATATCCAAAGAGACACAGGAGTAGGATAGGATCAATTTATCAACAAAAACTTCGATATAATTACCACTAGCTATAAACATGCTGATTGCAGTACTATTTAAACCTAGTAAATTAGATTTGCTTTCATCAGAAAGAATAATCTTGGCTCTGGTGCTGTATGGGGACTGACAGGAAGGTAGGGAACCATGCATGCCACTAGGGAAAGATCTGTGATCATTTTACCTAAACCAGCACTGATCTGGCTTCCTCAGATTACTAATCAACTTCAGAACACAACCACTACATCAATCCAAGATATAAAAATTCAATATTTACAATCATATGTGTAAGATCAAATTAAACATAGAAAGAGGAGGAGGAGAGTGCAGGACAAATGAAACTAACAGAATACATCTGAGTTGCAAAAAATTTAAGAAAAAAATGGGGAAAAAAAAACCCAAAACCATGTAAAATGATCCTTCAGACTAACCAGTAACTCTAGTAAGCATCCATATAGCCAAGGCTCAGTGATCAATACCAGCCTTGTGGGGAAGGAAGCATTGTTATAATGTGGGCAGTGATTGTTATGATAGGGAGGGCAGCAGGTGACACAAGCCCCTCAAAAACATTACATTTTCAACACAGTTTCAAACATCCTCTCAGAAGGAACAGTTTTATATGACAGTGTTCC